AAATAAAAATGCAAATTTTTACACATAAATTATTACGACTTATAATTGCTAACCATTATTCAAATAACGATTAGCAATTATAAATCGTGATAAGATAAGATTTGTTACAATGACTACGTTCATACGGCTCGATTTATGCCGAAGTTATAACATCGATGTTATGAAATTGGTCAATCATAGCTATTCTTCTGAAAAATGTAATAACTGTGATTGACTAATTTTCTGACTTTACACTGTTTACTTTATTTGTTTACACAGATCGATTTACGCTGAAGTTATAACATCGATGATACATATGCCTGTACACACACACACTAGGGCAATGTAGATAGCGAGAGTGACAAGAGGATGTTACTTTGCAATAAAATAAAATATAAAAATTTTTTAAATACAAACCTTCATTTTCAGAACATGATTTTGAAATTGAATAGCATATTTGTGCTTCTTGTATATTCTTCAACGATTTCGTGTTTTCAAATTTATCTCGATAAAATATTAATACATAATGTACATTCCATAACAAAATAATGTAAATTTTTTTAGACTCTTTTGCTGACTGTATCCCACACACATTTTATATGTATAATATACTTTATATATATAAATACAAGGAAACAGTGACTATTCATAATTTTATGTACAAAACTTATCTTTCTCATCTCACTTGCTGTAATAAACATTTCGCTTCTTCGTACAAAGCGGTACTTGGCTTCAATGTTTCCCAATCATAGTCTACGTCTTCATCGTAACTTGCATTATTATTTCTACAAAATTTTATTCTATTAATAATATTACATGTTGTTACAGTTTATAATATAACTGATATTTATAATGTGATTTAAAGCAAATTTTAGTCTTAAATATAAGAATAATATAAAACCTTACCTATACAAAGTATCGTCTACAGCATGCATTGCATTATTACCTAAATCTTGAAGTAACCGATTTCGTGCAAGTCCTGTGTGCATTAGCGCAATATCATTCAGCAAAAATTCTTTATGATCTATAACAAAAAAAAAAAAGATATAAAAATTAATTATTTCCACAAAGATCTATTCTGATTTTAACAAAAAAAAAAAAACTATTGAAACTCACCATTCTTCTCATACTTTTTTACCAACTTTTTCATGAAATCTTCACCTGCATATTTCTTAGATATACCGATTCTATAGTAGATAGCTTTACACTGCCATCGATTCTCCGCAGAGTCTGGATTGGACGGAACAATTCTCCTCGCTTGCGTTTCCTTCACAAGAGACTCCCAATCGACTCCTAAGGCATCACCTAGTCCTTTTCCGCTCGTTTTGATGTCCTCCTCCAACTCACCATCAGAAATTTCTTCAAAGTCCATAGTCTCCATATTATCGTCTTCCATATTCCTAATATAAGATATAGAGTCAGATATAAAATTTGATGTTTTAGATATAAAATTATAGAGTTTTCGCATAAATAAAACAATCTGAAGCAAAAGAAATTAATTTTTTAAAAAGATAATCGCATATTTTTCGTTACACATTACGAACATATTATCAAATAATTTCTTTAACAAAAACGTTTTACCTCTTATAATTAATATTTTATAACCTTATATATCTCTATATATCTTACTTCAATGACGCTGTATCGGCATTATCCTTAGATTTTGAACTGAAAATAGTTTCTTCTGCAGGTTCTTTCGGAGATAATTGAGCTGGCTCTTGTACTGTTGATTGTACATCACGGTGAGCAGTATCTGATGCTTTCTTATTTGTCCGTGTTTTATTAGTTTCCATATCCTGTTGAAAAATTATATATAAAAGTGTGAGTATGACATTTTGAAATAAAAAAAATATATAAATGTAGGATATGTACTGTAGTATCTTCTTCCATGTTCAATATATCATCAGGATCATCGCTAATATCACTCAAATCACTCTCGGTATGAAGAGTCTGTAAAGACTCATCGGCAACGGGACGCTTTGGTTCCACCGCGACAGGTTCCTTAATTTCAGGTTTATCCTTTTGCTGATTCTTCTTTTGGAAGTTATCCGTGGATTTTTCTCTAGTAGTTGTGCACAATCTACCTTCAGCAAGTTCCATCAACTTCTTGTTGATAGGTTCTTCTTTCATGCTGCCATAAATAGCAGCTTGCTTAGCAGAAGGATGAATCACTGGTTCTTCTCTTGTTTCTGGCGCATTGTACGATCGTCTTTTGCTATAAGAATTATTTTCATTTAACATGCTTTAACTAATATAATACAGACATATATTATAATTTTCATCATTTTTAATCATGTAAGATAGTAAGATTTTATGCTTACTTATGTTGCGTAGATTCTCCGTGCTCCAAGTCCTTCGTGCGTTCGTTTCTGTAATGCGATCGAACGTGAACGTTCTGATTATCCCATTTTCGTGAATCATTAGGCTTCCAGTCGCTTATAGTATTATCATATCTAGAATTCCACTCGTCATCATGTATTTCCGAACGAGGAAGACTATCTCTGCTTTCCCATAATGGTCTACTGCGCCATTCTCTTTCTTCCCATTCTACTGTCTGATAACTACGGTCTCGACCGTGTTCTACATCACGGTGATGTCCTTCCCAATTATCATTAGAAACAGTTTCATCTCTAAAATAGAAAATATACATAAACAATAATAAAAAAAGTGAAACTCAATCGTTAAAACGATTTGAAGAAAAGGAATTCCAAAAAGAAAAAGTTTATAATTATAAAATATGATTTTATAAACATATAAATTGTTTTAATTCTGATAAAAAGTTATCTGTTAAGATAAAACAATACACTATCTTAATAAAAGAATAGTATAAAAAATGTAATTCAATATTATTTCGAACTAACTTTCAAAGAGCAAAAGAATAATATTTCTTCAGTTCATATTAATATATTAATTATTACCTGATATTGGCTCCACCATTTCTCAACTTATCGCCAGGATACAGAGGATGTCGATGATGATGATGATGATGACGATGATCATCGAAGGATGGTCGCTCTGTAGTTTGGATCACATATCTTGCCTCTCTGGATCTCTCGTCGCGAGCAACGCGTCTCTCTTCAAAAGGACTGTCAAACCTTCTACCCTCGATAGTCTTTCTCCTGTCATCCTCGTGGATGTGGGCATGATCCCGATACTCAACGTGTGGAGCTGATTCTTCCTGCTCGTCCCAGTGCTCCGGCAATCTGCCGTAGTTCCTACCAAAGTTCCTGTCCACTTCCATGGTGCGTCGCGGACTGTTTGCATCCCGACGATCCACTATCCGGTTGATTTTGCTCGGAACACGACTCGATTCTATTCGTGCCTGATCTTTCCTGCTACTGTGCTCCGACGTGTGACCCCGTTCATATCTCACGCCGAACCTTCTGTGCCTATCCCTGTCGTAGTGATTGTCCACCATGTCTATAAGATGATCGCGAGATGATAGAGTGGGTGTCACAGCCACTACTGATGAGGAAGATGAAGCTGAAGGTACGGGTGGTAACGTCGTTGTTGACTGAACGCTCGACGACGGCGCGACATGCGCACTCTTCTCGTGTAAGGATGCACGATCTAAAGACGTTTCGCGAAAACGATCCATGCGATCCCGGGGTGAATTGACAGTCGACTTGCTGCGACTTGATGATACGTCCTTTTCGACAACGGTATTTCTTTCGTATCTTCCATCCAATCGTGACTGTGTGGAACTCCGTTCACGCTCAGCGAGAGCTTTCGTTTCAGATCGTTCCCGTTCGCGTTCGCTTCTGTTTCGCTCGCGAGTCCCGCCGCTCTTCTCAAACGACACATCCTTATTTAAAGGTCGTTCCTTGATTCTGCTATTGTAACGCGAACTCTTATCCGCCGATAGATTCAATGCCGCGGGTGAAATTACCGTAGACACGTCTCTTTCGCGTGGTTTCATAGACTTCTCTCTTTCTCGATCCCGATCGCGATCTCGTTCTCGTATTTCACGATCTCTTTCCCGCTCACGATCGCGTTCTCGTTCTCGTTCGCGATCTCTATCTCTCTCTACTTCGCGCTCTCGTTCTCTTTCTCGGTCTCGGTCCCGATCGCGATCACGCTCGCGCTGTCTTTCATTCCGACAACGCTCCTGAGATTCATCCTTATCCTTATCGCGTTGTGGTTCTTGGCGCTGATCACGAGTCAGTTTCGAGGGACGTTCGTCTCTCATTTCCTTTTCGCGCTGACGCTCACGGCTTTTCTGTCGCGTTTTATCACCACCGTAGGTCTTATCATCAAAATTGTCCTTATTTGTGTTGTTCCTTCGATAATTGTCATCTTGATTCGAAGTTATTGTTTGCTTTGTTTTACTGGAAGACGTCTGCTCGTTTTTTCTCGCATCATCTCGTTCTTTGCTTTTATCTCTTTTGTACGAGTCGCGATCTTTCTTCTCTGCATCTCTCACGCGATTCGACGAATTGCTTTGCTTCTCCGCATTTTTCGCCGGGGTAAGATCGCGTCTCCTCGATGGCGTTCGACTACGTTGTACTTTTGATGACGCATTCTCTTTAACGTGCTGATATTTAGATGATCGTTCCGATGACGACGGCGGCGGCGGCGGCGTACGTGAACGCACATCCTTCTCCTTGCATTTGGACCTCAACCGATCGTCTAATTTGGTTTTTTCATCAATAGCGCGGTTCTTTTCTTTCTCCTGTTGTTCTTTGATTTTATCGAATGACTTGCACTTAACAGCGTCCTTGGACAGACACTCATCCATATCACGCACCTTCTTGTAATGCCTGCCGTCCTCCTTGTCCACTTCTCGATTATTCTTTACCGCTTTCGGTGATTCGCTCCTGTTTCTTTCTCGAATTTTGCTGGATGATGCGTGATGCGCCACAGAAACTTGCGAGCCCAACGTTGCGGCCACTGCAGACGTGACTCCACTCGTAGATCCCTGCTGTATCGCAGGTGATCTAGCGCGCAATGAGTTGGTATGCTTCCTAGTTACAGACGACGAACCATACTTCTTGACTGGTCTCGTAGTAAGATCTTTTTTTGTGGAATTGTCAAGTTTGCGTTTCTTCTTATTGATGGCTTTGTCATTTCTTGTTCCTAGTCTTTTGAGTTTCAATCTGTAAAATTCATCCATGATAGCAAATATTTATATATATAACTCCTCTCAGCATTAAAATATAATATACATAATAAATTATATATATATAATAATAGATTATTTATTATATAAAATTACAAGTAATTTGTTTGCTTACAAATTACTTGCAATTACATATTCATACATTATAAAATACAAAGGAAATACTAATAGCATTTTCGACTCAAACGGGTTTGCACCGATTTAAGTTGGACGTTCCACTATTAGTTAACGTTACATGTTCTACCAATAGAAGGATATACAACATCATTAATCCAACCCAAATTGGTGCAAATCCGCTTGGATCAAATACACTATAAATGAGTATTTACTTTTTCTTTCTTTCTTTGTCCTCACTATAATCGGCAGAAATACTATGATGTCTCTTAGTCTTGATCTTTTTGATTTTCTTATGCGAGTCTGACGTGGATGTAGAAGAGGAGTCTTCACTACTAGAGCTGCTGCTACTGCTAGACGTGCTGGATGTGCGCGAACTAGAGGAGGAGCTCATCGCTTTTTTCTTCTGCCTTACTTTATCCTTGCCATGTACTTCTTTGTCCTTCTTCATTTGTAATTTCAGTTCCCGTTGTATCAATTGCCGCCGTCTCTCCAACACTTTCTCGTCCTCGTATTCGAGGTCTGTCTGATTCCACTCTTCTATGTTTAAGTCCGGACTATGCGATGCCTTTTTCACGATCTTCGATGTGAGCCGTTTGAAGGGATCCTCTGCAATGAGCTGTAATATCGAGAGGATCAAAGAAAAAATTTTGACTTTTTAGTTTATAATTTATAGTCATCTGTCAATTTTTACTCTTATCAATTATATTGCAATGCTGAAAACCCTATGTATATGCATATCAAATAAAATTGTTATCAAATAGAAAAATATGGCGTGAGCTTACCCCAGATGTACCTGCGATCGCATTATCTTTCTTAGCACGCTTGGATGGGCTTATCAATGTGTGTGTGTTTGCGTATCTAATTAACAAATAAGAGAAATGAGAAATTGCATTAGATCAATAAGCAATATGCTCTAATAAAGAATAAAAAATTAAATCAGAAATCAAATCTTTATGAGAAATTAGTCTTTCGAGTTATATCATGTCACGCAAAATAAATAAGACTATTAAATCATCGAAAAACAGCTGTTCAAAATATTAGAGAAAATATAAAACTATCATAGAGCTCATTTCAATCATAATTCCAGTCAACAATAAACCGTAAAATAATTAGCTGTATGTTACAAAAATTCTTCTATTATTGTCTTTATATCATAAAGCGAAATTGTGTTTTATTTTTTTTTTATGTGAAACTGCAAGTGTAAATTCTTGCAATAATCAATCAACCGACTACTATTGTGTACTTCGGTGAGGGATTATGACAAATGAAATCGGCACTCACTTGCAATTCTTTCCGTAGGAACAACTGCCGTTGAGGGCCCAATTTCTGCAATAATCCGATGTATTTTGAGCGGCGGCGGTGGCGGCGGCGATCGCTGGTTTGGTGCCCAACCTCTCAAACACACTCGGCCGTCGTGAAGAGTCTGTATTACATTTCGTAGGGTCAGCCGTTATTTTCCTTATGTTTGGTTTTGACATATTATCACCATAAAGCACTTGTATTTTCACAATGGAAGCGCATAACTGCGAGCATGCAGGCGTTTACGTGCCGTACGAAATCGTCATTGATCGTCATGCGACAATATGACTTGGCGATCTGATCTCGGCCCGTCTCGTCTCGGCGTCTCAGGTCTCGGCTCTCGGCCATTGGCGCGTAATACACAATACAGGCCAATACGTGCGAGAAGGAGAACAGATATATCTATATGCTACGGCTGCTCGGAATATCTCCTTCCCCCAATTACATTTCAGCTTATATTTGACGTTCGACTGTCGGTAACGAGATCGGAGCAAATCGGAGTCAATCGAAATTGGAGTATTGGCCGAAACTCCAAACTCTATGAAATTTAACTTTACTATTTAAAAAAAATTGGGATTTTATCGTCGCTTTGTTTAGCTTTTTAGTAAATGTATTTTTAGAAAAATCTATTCATTTTATTCTGTATATTTAATATAATGTCTATTCATTCGGAATAAATATAATTAGTTTTTCAATAAATAGGTTTTGAATTCATAGTTGATATTTTTGCTCGATATTGACATGCTTAACTGGTAGACATCTAATTAAATCAAATCTCATTGTTGATTGTTTTTCTTATAATATAGATTAATTATTATAGACGTTCGATTTTCTTATAATGAATGTTTGGTTCAATTTATTTATTCTGGAGTATTAAGTTTTAATGTTTTTTTTTTTTTCAGGTGACAGTCAAACTAAGGACCATACATACATACATATATTTAAGAGTAATAAATCGTAAAATTAATATCATATTAGATATATGAATTACTCAGATCAAATTTTGATAGTCGCATGAACTCACAAGACTTAAACTTTAGAAAGTTTTTTTCCATAAATTTTTTGTTACAACTGCAACTTTATCGGCAAAGGCATCTAGGATATTCGAAAGTTTCAAAAGAATCGATCATCCATATTTTTTTATCAACATTTTGCCTAAAAAATATGTATCTACATGTAATACGCAATTATAAAACGCTTTACGCGTTTTTATATCGCAACGATGTAAAATTATTGCATGAATGTTCCGCGTTTTATGGATATTCGCGTGGCATGCCAATTGTTTTCAATTTTGATCAATTCGCAGAGATTGACAAAGCGCTCGCGTGACATCCATCGTTATATTACATATTCGAATCAGAAAACATGCGGAAATCGGATGACTTAACGCCAGAGTTATGTCGAATCATACCAATTAAATGAGAATGACCGATCGGACGCGTCCGATGACTAATGACCGTGGAATATTGTCTCTTTCGCGGAATCTCGCTATTTACAACATAAATATTCGTATTATTTATATATATACATAAATATTTCGTATATATATATATTTCTTTTAATTAAATTTAGTTAATATCTCAACTCTTCTTTCCTTCCACTCACCTTGTGTATTAAATTTTATTAATTTTGCATTGATTACATATAGTATATATGATCTTGCATTAAGAAAGATATTGTAAACATATATTATCCTTAAAATAATTCTAATGAAAAATCTGCTTGCCGTTCGCATGTGTTTTTTTATTAGAATAAAAATAATTCAATCATCATTACATATTCTGATCAGTTTATCTTCGGGTCGTTTGCCGTAACTCGATTAGCACGATTAACGTCAGGAATGCATTCGCACGCTAATTGCAATTTTATACATTGACCCGCGCGATAACAAAAGATTGTGCGCATTTATCCTCACTTCTCGATGAATATAGATCATATGGATCGTGATCGGAGGCAACGAATGCGCGAGCGAGCGAACGAACACAAACACATTATCGTAAAATCGGGGTCGTCGTCGAAAAACAATAAAGTGGCGTTTCTCGCACAAACGCGCGTATTGCACACCATGAAAGAAGAAAGAAATATTCTTATTACACTCAACATTTCCCGCACACTTGTAATTATGGTGATATCGTCGGAGTGACGTCTCGTGCTACACTGATATTACACACATTAATTTTTGCCGACGTTACATACACAGCGAATGAAACCTACGGTGGTACCCCGCATAACAATAAATTAGACTGCATAACGATTTGATAAGGATTATACAACATCTGTATTTATATATGTATGTAATCGTATGACTATATATCCACAGGGTTTTTTTTTTTTTCGTAACATGATCTTCAGCGCAACTTTACATACAAAAATCGATTAAAAAAATATTAGTATGAATATATAATATGAATTAACATCTTGCATATTTAAAATATATGTATATGTATATTAGCAAAATATAATTATAATTCTAATCGCGGCGTAAAATCGCTCTAAACAATCGTTCAAGAGATTGTTTAAAAGAGATGTAAACGCTACAGAAGAGATGCATCGCTATATGCTTCGCTATATCCACCCTCTCTTCTCTAAAATTCTAAAGCAATGATATTCCACCTCGCGCCACGATTACAATCTTTCCACATACATTATTATTTTATCTTTATATAATCCAAATATATATATGTACGTAGGTATAGCGTTTCGTTCTGAGGTAGATCGAGTCAGCAAACAACAAACAACTATATAATTCAAAGCTCATTTCTAAGTGCATCTAAATGCACATTCTAAATCTTTTACTATTATGATTAAAACTACATCATCTGAACGTTAAAAAAAAGATCATCAATGTCAATTCTTAGTATTGTTGCATCAGCCGCCATCAATAATTCCGAAACCTTGATTAGTAATTACGTAAAAATGGAATTAATTAGACTTATTTGGAAAAAAATCGTCGACATTTTGAATGTTTTTGAATATCGGTATAATTAAATTTAACATCAATTTTGCCGTACTAAGGCCAAAAGTTCTGCTGTGTGTGGTACACATTCACTGTAATTTAAAGATTAAATTTAGAATTACACAACGTATGCAACGTTGATTGATAATGGACATTGATGATATCATCTCTCTTTAATGTATTATAATTAAGTGACATTCGGGCACTTTTTTCTTTGCACTTTCATCAGGATATATAACCATTCTTTTTTTAATCAAATGATACCTTTGCAGCTAATTTATCAAAAAAATCGTGTCCTTTGTTTGCATAAATACATTATTGAAACTATCGTACGTGATGCATGAAAAATGTTATATACAGATTGACCAATATATACAATAGGTGAAAACGCAGATACTTTTGTAAAAAAAATTAACGATTTGAAAGTCTAAAAGATAAACCAATACGTATATCAAGGTTTCGTTTCTTATTATATCAGTAAACATTTTCGGAAATAACGTATACAAGATATATGTTAATTATACATTAATAAGTTAACTGTAAATCTGCTTTCTCAAGCATTTAACAGCAACTTTAAAGATAAAAAGCAATATTACCCTACATGTGTGTATAGTCATAGCATATTTTTCTAAAGATATATATACACGCGTAGACATCATTTATAGGAAAACGATTCGCTATAGTATTAAAAATTATCAATGCCACCATCAGGAATACCTTCTTTAATATTCTCCAACACTTTGTTCACAAAATCTGTTGAATGATTTGCTATTCGCATTTCTGCAATCAGAAATTTATATACGTATTAAAATAATAATAAATATGTGTATACTTATTGTATACTTTATTTGTATGTCATACTTATGATACATTTTATCTAAGAAATTACACACACACACACACACACACACACACACACACAAATTGATATTACTCACTGGTAGCTAGCTTGCAACATTTTTCCATTTGTCGTGTAAGCTCTTCTTGAGTGTCAGGATTGGATTCAGTTAATTTAGCAGCAAGTGTATGTTTAGCTTGTGATATACCTTGTATAAGACGTCCTGAAAAAAGAATTATTCGTTTTTCTTAATATATTCAATATAATATGTTTCAATACATTTATTATTTCGACGTATACTCAACTGTGTTCTGCTTCAAGTCCATGCAGCTTTATCTTATTTGCTTCATGTTGAGCCTTTTTCTTTAAACGGCATGCTCGTGAAGCTAATTTATTTTTTTCTTTACGCGTTTTCGGTCTTGCCGGAAAAGGTAATTCTGCAACAGGTGTCATATCATTTATAATGCGATTTAATTTATTTAATTCTCGTCCGATGTTATGGAGCTTGCGAGGGTTCGGTGTAAGATCATTTCCATCGCCTTTTCGTGCCTTTCCACTATGTTTAATTCCTCTAAGAGCACAATGAGGACTAAATACTGGATCAGTTGCTTCGTTCAAGACATGTGGATCTTCTAAACGCGCTCGCGCAATTAATCGCTGTCCTTTTGGTCCCTTAGCTTGAACGTTATATTGCCAGAAGAATCTTTCTTTCTTACTATGCCTTTCCTTTCCCAATTCTGTAGTTCCTGTTCCTACTCTGTTATTACTTTGTTCCTCGCCGTCGCTTCCACCTGTATCTGATAGATAAACGATTTATATAGCTACATTTTCATTAGTTTTTAGTTCTCTTTTAGTTTACAAAATATTTAATAAAAATGTGAGATTAATTTAATCAATCGATTTTTATTTTGTACAAAAAAAAATAATTTTTTATAAATTATCTCTGACTATATTGTATACTATATATCTACATTTCTTAATACATATATATGTACCATTATCACTGCTGTAGTCATCATAGTGATCACTATCATCATCACTGTCTTCATAACCTTCATCATGGCTAAGAGGATCAATACATAGTGGATCTGGACTAAGAGCACCTCCAGTACTCAGACTACTCGTCGATCCTGCCTCAACCAAGCTACCGGTACTCAAGAGATGTTGCCGTGGTTCCCTGTGGGCCCAGATATGATCCAAATGTCCCATTGTCTGCGTTGGTGCAGACATAGACAGTCTCGAAATTTTAGGTTTACCACCTATCGTAGAGATATTATCAGCCTGATTAGATACTGGATTAAATGGATTTTCACCTCTTTTCATAAGTAGCTCGTGTAAAGTAGATGAGCCAATGGGCCGAGTTACAGGATGTGGTGAAGTTGATGAGCTTGCTGTTGAACTACCTGAATGAATTGTAATACATTATCATTTTTATCAATAAACAAATCATAAAAACACAAATGTAAATCATCAAAAACACAATACTAATATTATTATCTAATTGTTTTTGCTGTTATATATAAAAAAAAATACTGTTGCTTAATGTTATTATTATTAAAAGATTAAATACATTTGTTTGATCATACCTGCAACGTTACTAGTGCCTGGACTAGGACTAACAGCTTCAGCATTATCCACAATATTTGAACCTCTATTTAAATTAAAGCCACATGTATTTGTATATGTGGGACAACTACGGTGAGTTACTCCAGATTGAGGAAAACTACTGGGTGCAAATCCTATGCTACTATTAAACAGAGAGCCAGTTAACGGAGCAGCATATTCCATTTTTATCGGTTGTACTCTTTCTTCTGGTAATAATAAATCATCAAAATTTAAATCTCCCAGCAAGGTATCGTCATTGGCGTTCAATTCAGCCAGAGTTGGACCTTGAATAAGTTCAGCTTTGTCCACCTGAAATATGTCGTCCTCATCCATTTTAAATGAGATATCCATCTGATCTGGGTCCATTTTATAAGTATAGTCCATTTGGTCGGCTCTCATATCCCATCCTGAGGATATCGCTAGAGGGGACGGTGAGAACTGTTCATATGTTCGCGTACTTCTGTGTCCTCCTGGTATCGGCACAGATGCCGACGCCGAATTCATCTCCTGGACAGGTTCCTGCTTCACTATGCTATCCATCGTGCTAGATAGCGAAAAATCGTTGTACTTGGAGTCGTCCATCAGCCACAAGTGCGTTGACGAAAAAACCGACAGAGTTCTCGCGCGCGCGTTGAGCACGCTATAACAATGTCAACAATTATATACTTCTGGAAATTGTTTTTCTACGGAACACAAAAGTTTGCTGAATAAAACAAATCGTCTCAAACTCGATCTATTCGTCGTTCGACTTTGTATGTATCAAAGGCGAATATCATACAGCTGCAGACGACAACAGTCGTTATGTATTATTAAACGCGTTACAACAACACGTCATTACAACAGTACGGCAACTGGACAATGTCCCAGCACAACGGCACGATAACGAAAGAGAAAGAGGAAACGCGCGCGGCTTATCGCTCGCTGAGCGAGTTGCACTATTTACAATTTTAATTGATTTTGACTCGTCCACGCCTGTGGTATCGCTCGATCGATTCGCAGTGATTCGCAATGATTCGCAGCCTCGCGTGGTCTCGCGCACGAGAGAGGCTCGGCCACGAGGGAACGGCTTCTCTCGATAGTCTCCTAAGTCGCTTAAACGGTTCTTAAACGGGAGCTGACCTGCTCGGAGAGAAATGTGCACAGCACAGATCGAAAATCACATATTGGTTCACGCGCGCACACAATTGACACAGTTGACACAGTACGCATGCATCGCGCGTCTCTCGTCAGTAGGCATTTTTCGCAGCTGACA